AACCTTGTTGTCTAAAAAACTGAATTTGTTTGGTAAGTTTTTAAAATTCTGATTGGTCGGATGTTTGCTTGAACTTACCAATGACATGCTCATCAACAGTTGTACAATTGTGAAGTGTAGGCGATTTACAGAAATGTGGACTAATCCAGTTCAGATCAAGATAGCGATATCGTTGAGTCATTGTGAATCCTCAAACTCATTGAGATGGATGTCTTTGCATCTGAGTTTATTTTCAGGGTTTGCAATTGGATCGTGAACATCGAAATATTTGGATATCATTTGCATTGATCATAGTATTCGGTTTTACTGCATTTGTAAAACTTAAAAGTGATGTGATCAGAACCAGAAAAGAGGAGATGGCCGAACGTGAAAGAATTCGTAAACAGTTGCATTTGACCGGTGAAAGCCGTAAGAGCATTGGTATCGTTGAGAATTGATATTAATCTATGTCGATACTGAAACGCGTAATTGTGATCATTTAAAACGGATCGAGTTTAACGCCTTCGTTGCGGACAGTTTTCATCGTGAGAGGAACAACTTCCGCTCATTCCTGAATATTTTCCATGACCACGGACGTACTCTGAGCATAGCTTAGGAGAACCAGTAGTCAGTCCGTATGGAGCAGCATACCTCAAATTGTATAAAACATGCTCATCAACTCCTTACCCTGAACGATCTTCTTACATCACATACTTGTTAGCAACCTGTATTCCTTCATGATCGAAAGATTCATGCAACATAATGGCTCTGACTATGGCAAAGAGATATATCTTAAACTAGGAAGTTCAACCTTCCCCCCTCCCCCCGCTTAACCGTGAGCAATGGTCACATCACGTCCATGGTCAGTAACTAGCTCATATGGCAATGTATCCTTGCGGTGACATTCTCCTGATCCTGTCAATATGGTTATGGGGTTGCAAATACGACTAATCGTTTGAATATCTCCATTCTGATGATTTGTATGCGATAATTACATTGAAGATATTGTAAATGTTGTGTTATGTTATGTAAATAATACTAGCTG